TTTTTTTTTTGTTTTTGTCTTTTTATTTTGTTAGTATATATCTCTAATATTAAATTTATTTTATTTGTAATTTTTCAAACATAATACATATAGATATGTTCTACGTATTTTTGTGACATATTTTTTTAGAAATTGTAATACGTTAACGATACTATAAAAAAAAAAAAAAAAAAAATGAAATATACCGAAAAAAAAGCTTATGAAAAGTTAATAGAAGAATTAAAAAATGAATTTCCCTTTTTTAAAAAGTATAACGCAGATTTTTTTTTTAATAAAAAAAATGAGGAATTAAAAAAGGGAGATAATTTTCAAAGTTTCTTTAAAAATAAGGAACATAAAAATGATGTGAAGGAATATAGCAATTTTTTAGTAGAAGAAATGGAAAAATCTTTTAATATTTTAGAAAAAAATAATTCAATTAATAATTTATGTAATATATTTTTAAGAAATTTTGATAATTCTACTAATGACTATTATGATTATATCAATAGTAATTATGTAAGTTCTAGAACTGTAAAAAAAGTTATGAAAAATTATATTAAAAGAGATTCATTGAACAACGAAAGTGTTAAAATAAATAACATGAAAATGAAAAAAATAGGTAATGAAATAAATAATAATAATAATAAAAATATAGCAATAAATTCCCATAAAATAAAAAAAACAGACAGTTATATTATGAAAAATCCTAAAATAAAAGAAAATAAATTACAAATTAATAAGCAAAAAAAAAAAAGTGAAGAAAATAATAGTGATAGTTCTGAAGAAAAATGTGAAATTAAAAATTCTTTTGAAGATGAAATCAAGAATAATGATGTAGGATTTTGTGACATATCTTTTATTCCTTTTACTAATAATTATTTTCATATAAATTATGGCTGCTTTAACTTAAATTTATACAACGAAAATTTAAATAGTGTTTTTATGATTGAAAATATGAAAAAAGACAAAGATGGATTAGCAAAGTATAAAAGATCAATAATATTTGGAGATTTAGGAAAAGAAAATTTTTTGAAAAACATAAAAAAACATTCTATCGTTAGAGGATGGATTTATAAATATGATTCAGTATATAAATGTTTTTTTGTTAGAATTTTTTCTATTAGAAATGTGTGTAATAATGAAAAGAAAGCTGAAATAATAAAAAAGAATAGAAAAAATGATAACTGTATTTATGCTTGTTTGCCATTTCAATTCATAAATAAATATGAATTTGTAAATAGTTTAAGTATAGATGGTCTTCCTTTTCATGATTTAGAAAAATTTATAGGTATGAATATATGTGGAGAGGTATTTGATGATAAAAAATATATATATGCACATTTTAAAGATATTTTTTATAAATGTAATTTTCATTTTTTTATAACTTTTAACTCAAAATATTATTGTAATAATGATAAATTTGGTTTTATATCAAATCATTTAAATGGTGATATTTTCAAAAAAAAAAATAAATATAATGATTATTTATTAAATTATTTTAATATATTACTATTCTCATGTAAAAAGTTTCAAAATTTAGAAAATTTAAACTATAAAGGTAAATATCTTTTGTTAAATGTATCTCAGATGCCATCATTAATTAAATTTAATTTTAGAAATAATATTTGTCAGATGCATATAGGAAATATAATTACAAAAAAACAAAATTTAATATGGTCAAATGAAAAATTTATTGAGGCATTTGAGATTTATAAGCACAATAGTGAATATTATAACTTTTTAAAAAATTACTTTTATTTAGATTCTTTTACGAAAAATTGTAAATATATATATGTATATGAAGAAGATAAATTTATAATTGAAAATGATTTTATGGAAAAAATAGAAGATGTAAAAAAACACATAAGGAAAACAAATAAAAACAACAATGAAAAAAAAAATAATTTAGAAAATAAGGAATTCTTTAATATCGAAAATTCCTATATAAAAAAAACAGATAAGGAGGAATTCATTAAAAACTATAATGAGTATTATTTAGCTTTAGATGATAAAGAAAAATATATTATTAAAAATATAATATTTTTAAATGCAAATTTGTATAAAAAAAAATGGATATATGATTTCTTTAATTGTATCAAATTAACTATAAATTTAAATAATCAGAATGTTTTAGCAAATTTTTTGCTAAGTTTAGTATTACTAGAATTAAGCTGTTATACGGAATCTTTTCTATTCCTTTTCAGAATTTTTAAAATAAAAAAAGTATTTTTAGATAGCTATAAGTTAAAAAAAATTATTTGTAGTATTTTTATAAAGCAATTAAAAAAATATATAAATAAAGAAAATATATGGAATGTTATAATAAATTTTCAAAATTATGATTTGTTTAATATGAGAGAAGATAATTGCGAAGAATATTGTAGAAATATATTTAAAAGAAATATAAATATAATTAATACTCTTGAAAAAATGTAAAAAATGTTTATTTTTCTTTTTCTTTTTTTTTTTTTTTTTTTTTTTTTTTTTTACAAAAAGGTTTAATCTCAATATATTTATTCAATTATTCCGTAAAAAAATATTTTGACCACATTATTTTCATCATATACAAAATTAAAAATTACAACATATATGTATATATATAATTAAAAAAGGAAAAAAAAAAAAAAAAAATATATACACGTAAATTTTAATTAAAATAAATAAGTAGTTTATTTTAAAAAAAAAACAAACAAAACAAAACAAAAAAATAAAGGTGTAATTCATTTTTAAAAACAATACATATATTTAAAATATTTAATTAAAAAATATTATTAGTAATTTAATTAATTTTTTTTTAAAGCATTATCATATATAAATGTATTATATGATTTTTATATATGATTATAAATAGCAACATAAAAAAATATAGAGAACAAATCATGAATTTAATCCAATAGTTAATCCCCTTTTCCTATTATATTAATTAAAAAGAAAAAAAAAAAAAAGGATTTTGTAATTATTTTTTGTTATATGAAATTTTTTTAATTATGTTTTTTTTTTTTTTTTTTTATTTGTTTATTTATTTATTATTCTTTCTTTTTTATATTACTTTGCTTCATCCATTATATATTTATTCATTAAACCCATATCTATAAAAATATAATTTATTAATTCAATGTCATCATCTTGTAACATTCTTATTTTTTCCGTATTCATCTGTAAAAATATAAATTATAAACATATATTTATTTATTTATTTACATATATATATATATATTTTTACATATATTTACCATATTAATTATGTTACTAATAAGTAAGTTATAATTATAAGCTTTATTAATTCTTATAGAATCTAATAATAATATTAAATCTTTTATATATATTTTATCATTTATGATTTTATGATTTACTTCATTAAAATAATTTTCATCTTCATATTTATTCATATTTTCATTTAAATTTTCAATTACGATTTTATTAGATTTATTTTCTATATGCTCTTCATTATATTTATTTATGTCTACTTCAGGTTTCTCTTCTGAATTTATTTCTTTTTTAACACCATATATGTTATCTAAATGTATATTCTCTTTTTTTTGCAAATATTCCTTATAAGATAAATCTATGTAATCAGATAAATTAGTATAAATAAAATCAATAAATTCCTTATGTTTCTTTTCAGTAGGCATATATCCAATATAATGAATCATATAAATATAAGAAGAAAACTTATTTTTTTTATATGTTAATAATAAGTAATTATTATTTTGTAATAAATTTAAAAGATTTAGTATAAAATCCCTTTTACTTACATCTATTTGATCAAATATGAAAAGAATACTTGACAAAGTATTTACATCACATAAAAATGAATACTCCTTCTTGTTATAATTATCACTTTGTATATAATTATAAAAGTATTTTTCATTATTTTTTATTAATTTATAAAATTTACATAATTCAAAGTCGACTTTTTCTAAATAATGCAAAGCTATTGTCTTCATATAATTACTAAGAATACCATATATTTTTATGGCTAATTGAAAAACAAAATTAATTGAAGATATCAAATCGTTAACAGAATTAATAATTAGTATAAATAATTTTTGTTTTATGTCTGTATTTAATTTTATATCAAAACTTGAAAATAATTGTAGATATAAAAGAATTTGGTTTTTATTTAACTCATAATCTAAATTGGTTATCTCATTAAAAATATATAATATGGCTGATCTGCAACTAATAGGATCTACATCTTTTTTTTTTAAAAGATTTATCTCATTTTCCGATTTTTCTAACATATCAATATATTTATTTTCTATTTTGAAATTATGTAATTTATTATTTTTTCTATCTATATATATTTTAGGAAATTTATTATTTTTGTTTTTATAAACTATTAGTTGATTTTGAGAGAAACCAATTAAAACAAAAAGTAAATTTTCTATGTATATTTTTTTTTTTAGAGATTTAATTAGTTTAGAACACTGCATAAGAAAATATGCAGATATGTCAATATTTGTGAAATATTTATGTAAAATTAATGTATATGAAGACATAAGAAAACTTCTAGGTTTAATAAAATTTATGTTATTTCTTATTAAAATGTCAATTAATTTACTAAATAAGATATGATCATTATCATTTAAGATCCTTTTATTTATCAAATAATAATAATGCAATATACAACTTATAGATTTTCCAGAGATATTTTCTAAATCCATTTTTATTAAATTTTCAATTATTTTATATTCTAACTCATTTATTAGATCTCTATTTTTTTTAGATAATTGAAATCTCAAAATATTTGTTTTTACATCATTTATTATATATTTATCATTTTTAAGTAAAGTGTTTTTCTTTTCATTATATATTTTTGAATCATTGTATTTTTTTACTGCATTCTTATAACTTTTTATCTCTTTATATATATCTCTTTTTTTCTGGATTAAATAATGCTTATAATACCCTATACAGTGAAGTAATATAGAACATGATAAGTGAGAGCATTTGTCAATATTCTTAATAAAATTAGAAATATAATCATAAAATAAAATGTTATATAAATGTAATCTTGACAAACACGAAAAACATAAAGTTGATAACTTCAAATCATTACTTAAAACATTTATATACACATTTTCTAGTAAACTCTTAATGATGTTATGAATATTATTTTTTTCGTAATTTATCTTAATAAATATATTTAACAAATGTATAATATGTTTATTATTAACTTTTTTATATTTTTTCATTTCTATATTTTTAATATATTCTTCAGCTAATATTTTCATAATATCTACATCCTTTATTTTACTGAATAAACAAATAAGAGAAAATAAATCATTAAAAGATAAAATTTCTTTAATTGATATTATTCTATTTTTAAAGGAGAAAAAAAAATAGTCATTTGGAATATAACCAATTAATGAATATTCTTTTCCTTTTATTTCGTCATTTTCATTCTTTTTTATAGATTCTAAATAATTAATATACTCCTTTTCATCTTCAAAAATATCTAAATAATCTGAGTTGTAATAATCGATGTCATAATATTTTTCTGATAAGCTATTTATTAAATCATTATATTCTTCATTATTATATTTATAATAATTAAATTTAAGCTCACATGTATCTTTATCTCTAATAGAATGAATGTCTTTATTAATAGGGAATTTTAATTTGTCATCATAGTTATTCTTATTTTCATTAATTATAAAATTAATAGTTTTATTATTATAATTAAGATTATTAATATCACATGTAGTCTTATGATCGTTAATACTATTATTATATTTAATATTATTATTTATATTTTCACCTTTATTAATATTATTGTAATTGTTATTTTTCATTAAAACTTTTTTATAATTATCTAGAAATTCTGTTTTGTTAAAAAAAATAGCATTAGTTAATAATATAATTAATTCTTTTTTATTTCTTATATATATGTTATCAACCAAAAACATAGGCATATCGATAATTTTGTCATTTTCAATGTGTAATTTATATATTAGCTTTTTATTTATATTACTAACATACTTTAACATTTTATATAATTAATAAAATACATATATATATATATATATATATTAAAAATATATTTGAGATGTATTTTTACTTGATAATTCCCATTTTACATTTTTTTTAATTATATATTTAAATATTATTCTTTTTTTTTTAATTTAAATTTATATAAAATTTTTAAGTATATTTCAGCCTTTTTTTCCTTGAATAAAAAATATTGTCATTTAATTTTATGATATGATTTATAAATAGTTACTATATTAAAAAAAAAAAAAAAAATAGGTATTTTTTTTTATAAGGTAACTCTCATATTTTTGATTTTTATTTATAATTTTTTTTTTTTTATTTTAAAAAATACATTTTATAAATTAGTGTGTTACCTATTATATATATTACCTCTTTTTTATTATAGTATAATTTTTATAAACTTTCTTTTTTTTTTTTTATTTTTCATATTTTATTAGAAATTATTTCTTCAATTTAGTTAATATAATTGATTTTTTATATAATTCATTTTTATAAAATTATTAAAAATAAATATTTTTTCATTAATAGTTTTTTTATATATATTTTTACATCTGTATATTATTTTTGTTATAAATTTAAAATTTAAAAAAAAATCAAGTTTTTGTATATCTTTTTAATTTCTATACGTCAACAATATGAATAAATATATTTTTCATTATTATGATATTATTATTACATTATTTCTCTTTTTTAAGACTTTATTTTTTTTTTTTGTTTAATTACTTTTTATAAAAATATTGTAAAACTGTAAATTTTTTCTTCTTTTTTCTTCTTATAAGTTTTTTAAGGTATTAAAAGTTTTTTTTTTTTTTTTTTTATGTTTTTAATTTGTATTAAAATTATATATTTTAATTATATTTCTCTAATTTTTTTTTTGTTAATTTATCTCAATTTTAAAAAAGAAAGATATAACATATTATGAAATAGTATTAACTTTAAAAAAAAAAAAAAAAAAAAAAGAAATGAATGTTTTTCTTTTTTTTGTTATAGTTATTGCATATTTCAATTTAAATTTTTGTTACATTAGATGTATAAATGTTATATATAGCAATATTATAAAAAAGTACAAAGATATAATTAATAATGATAATCTAGTTTTTTTATATGATAAGAAGAAAAAAGTATGTCTAATAAATAATTGCTATAATAGAAGAAGTAAAAATAACTTATTTTATTTAAAGAAGTCACCAATTGTTCAAAATAAAGAACAGGAAAAATTAAAAAAAAATTGTTTTAAAATATTTGAAAGTCGTAAATATATTGAAAATTTAAAAAATATAAAGAAAATAGATAATACAATATTAGGTAGTTTTTTTAATGGAAATGAGGATAAACTTATTGATGAATTACCTGAAAAATATTTGAATGCATTTAAGTGGGCATTAGAATTTCGATTGAAAAATTTTAATTGTAAATTTATGAGAATAAAAAAAATTGCAAAAAAAAATAATGAAGAATTAAAAAGTTTAGATAATTATGCAATAGGTTATAAGGAAAATTTGTTAGTTATGCTACAAAAAGATAAAAATTTTTTTCTTAATATTATAAATAAATTAAAATCAAAAGAATATTTTAATTTTGATATTTATTCTATATTTAGATTTTTGAATATAGACATTCGCTTTTTATTTTACCCAGATTGCCATGACGAATCTGCAATTTTTTTTTTAATTTTCGGAAATTTAGACAAAGTAATTAATTATTATATAAAAAATAAAGACCAGGTTGATTTTACAAAAATTATAAAAGATAAAAATATAACTAATTATAATAATGAAAATAAACAAGGAGAAGAAATAATAAATGAAAAAGAAGAAAGTGAACAAAAAAAAAATATATTAAATGTCATTTATAATGAGGAAACAGAAAACATTAACATATCAGAAAATGATAACATGAAAAATAGTAATTTCAATAATAATATTTCAAGTGTTAATCTAAAAATTTCCAACGAAAAAGATAAAAACGAAAAAGATAAAAATGAAGAAGATAAAAATGAAGAAGATAAAAATGAAGAAGATAAAAATGAAGAAGATAAAAACGAAGAAGATAAAAACGAAGTAGATAAAAGAGAAGAAGATAAAAACGAAGAAGATAAAAACGAAGAAGATAAAAACGAAGAAGATAAAAACGAAGAAGGTAAAAACGAACAAGATAAATTAGAATACTTTATAAAAAATTATGATAAAATATATTATTTTTTAAAAAATCATTTTAAAACATCTAATGAATTAAAAAGTTTTTTTGAAAAATGTTACGAAAAAGAGAATAAAATTAAAAAAAATGAAATAAATTTTAATTTAAGTGGTGAACAAGTCATAAATACAAAGGAAATCATTACAGATGGATTAAACTTAGAGATGATAAAAAATATTATAAAGAAATCCCCTAGATTATCATTAGTAAATAAACACACAATATTAAAGAGAATATCTCATTATAAAAATGACTTAAATTACTCATACAAAGAATTACTAAAAATATTATATGATATTCCGCAATTTTATGCTTTTGGAAATTTAAAAAAAAAATATAAAGAGTTGTTATATTTACATGAAAGTATAGAAGAAGAAGATTTGAAAAAATTAATTAAAAAATATCCTAGAATATTTACATACAATATATATAGAACAATAAGACCTAAACTACTTTACTTAATTAGACATTTAAATAAAAAATTTCCAGATATACTTTGTTTTCCTCAATATTTTAGTTACAGTTTTAGATTAAGAATAATACCCAGACACGTTGCTTACATGAGTAAATATTATGATAATTATATTGAATATTATAAAGAACTCGTGAAAAAATATAATTATGAAGATTTTAATAAAAATTTTAATGATTTAGTTTATAAACCTAATATTCCTCCTATAAATTTAAGAATGTTATTGCAAACTTCTAATAAAGCATTCATGAAACATTATAATATTTCTTATTACGATTTTGTTAAATCTACACAGATGGCTAAACATATACACAATCCTTTTATAATCGTTTAACTAAATAAAAAAAAAAAGAAAGAAAAAAAAAAGAGGAATTTATGCTTTTTTTTTTTTTTATCTTATTTTATATACATACAAATTATTTGTCTTAAAATATATCTAATTTATTTCATCTTTTATAAATTTAAAAAAAAAAAAATTTATAAAATGGAATATATAGAACTAATTAGTAGAAAATATATTTAATACATATATGTATATAAATTTATTCAACAAAAAAAATAGAAGCTTGATTTTTTTTTTTTTTTTTTTTTAAAATAATTAAATTGTATATATATATATATATGTATATATATATGTTTTAAAAAGGAATATTAAATTCAAAGTTAATGAAAAAATTGCAATTAAATTATAATATGCTTAAAAAAATGTTAAGTAGTTGTAATGTCTTTTAAAAATATAAAATATATTAGTTAAAAAAAAAAAAAAAAAAAAAAAAAAAAAAAAAAAAAAAAAAAAAAAAAAAAAAAAAAAAAAAAAAAAAAAAAAAAAAAAAAAAAAAAAAAAAAAAAAAAAAAAAAAAAGAAAAAAAAAAAGAAGAAAAATAAGAAAGAAAATGGAAAAAAATAAATAAATATAATGATTTAAAGGAAATTAATTACACAAGTATTTATATATTTTGATATAATGTATTTTTTTGTTTTTATTTTTATGCTGTCATGTCAATTGTAGGGTAAGTAGGTGATGGTAATATATCAATAATTCTAGAAATATCTTCAGAATTGTATTTATAAAAGGTTTTTTCTGATTTCTTAATAGCAGCAATTTCAACATTTGTAGAAGATAATTTATCTTCCATAACTTGCCTTAAAACTGTTAAGGCTAATATTTCTGCTTCTTGAAAACTCATATTTTTATTATAATTTTCTTGTAATAATAATTCTGCCCCTTCTTGTGCTGATCCGATAGATGCAGCTAAGAATCTAGTGTTCGTTCCTGATGGCTCAGTATACCATAAACATGGGCCGTTTTTGTCAACTCCTCCTATTAATAATGCAACACCAAATGGTCTACTCATAATCTTTTTTCGTTTATTATCAGATAAATTAGAAAAATCTAATGCTAATTCAGATATTAATTCTACACATGATTTAATGTTTATATTTTCATTATATATGAACTTATAATGATTACATTCTACTCTCGCATAATCAATTAAAGTCCTTGCATCTGCCATTAGTCCACTCATTGCACAACCTATATGGTCATCTATTGCTAATAATTTTTCAACAGAATCTTTTTCTATCAATGCTGAAGATATTCTTCTTTCTGATGCTAATATTACTCCATCATTTACACATATACCTACAGCAGTACTTCCTAACTATAAATAACCAAGAGGGATATTAATAAAATAAATTAAATGAATATAATTTAACTATCTATAAAATATTAAATTTTGTATTTTTAAAAATTTCGTATGAGATACTTTTATTATAGCTACTTTTCTTTTTTTGTTATTTTTTTTTTTTTTTTTTCAGTTTTGTATTTCTCTTTCTTTTCTTCTTTTATTATTTTATTTTAATTTTTTTTTTTGTTATATTTTTTCATTATACCTTTATAGCTCCCAGTGCATATTCTACTTGAAAAAGTCTTCCCTCTGGAGAAAATGTGTTTACTCCCCTATCATATTCACTCCTAAAATAATATAAAAATTTTATATATAAAAATACATATATATTAATATAAAAACATTCTTATGATAAAATTAAAATTATATATTTTTTTTTCTTTAAATTACCTTGTTGAAAACATTTTAAGTTAAAAAAGAAATTATTATATTGATAGAATAAAAACAAAATTCTGATTAATCTAATTATATATAAAAAAAATAATAAATGTACATTTTTTTTTTTTTTTTTATTAATTTATTATAAATAAATTGTTTTGTAAACTTATCAGAAAAAATGAATCAATGAGAATAATAAAAAATTTATAGGAACAAAAGCATCAAAATTGTTTTTTTCTTTTTTTTTTTTTTTTTTGTATATATATATATATATTTATATATATATGAATAACTTATTTTTTTTATAATATCATGTATCAAATAATATATTTTAATTTTTTTCTTAAAAAAAAAAATTAATTAGATAAATGAATATCGGGTAGAGGACAGAAAAAAAAAAAAAAAAAAAAAAAAAAAAAAAAAAAAATGTATAGTATGCTTGTAATACATTTTATAAAAATACAATTGTATATAAAAATAAATTTATAAAAAAAAAAAAAAAAAAGAAAAAATATATTTTAATTTTCATTTAAAATAAATTCATTTAATAGAAAATTTTATTTATATTTAGTTATATGTAGCTATATATATATATACTCATATATAAATAGAATTTTAATAAAATTTTGTTATATGTTCTACTTACCACTTTTTACACTTTAAAAATAATACTATAAAAAAGGTTTTAGAAGTAATTATATTTTAAGCATAAAAAAAAATAAATTAATTTAATTTAATTTAATTTTAAGGTTTTTTTTTTTTTTGGGAAAAAAAGTATTAAATATTCCCATATATACATTTTTCTTTATTAAAAATGTAAATTTTGTTCATATGTTACAAATTCTGCTTATTCAAAAGGA